CTCCCTTCGCAGCGCGGCGCGGGCGAGAGCTGGCGCCGGCGCCGCCTGCGCTTTACCTGCCAGCTCCCAAGGACAAGCTGCCTCGTCCTCGGAAGGAAATCCAGGCCGATGCTCCATCCCAGGAGAGGCTTTCCGTGCGCTTCAAGCCCTGGTTCCCGTGCAGAGCTGTTTCTGCGATGCTGCTCTGGCGGTGGTGCTATGCAGCCCGGGCACCGAGCGCACCACATCCTGGACCTCGTTTTGCTCTCCGCAAGGGCACACCTTGTGGGCTCAGATTTGCCTCCAAAGAAACCCGGTGTCCTCCGTGCACACCGTAGCAGTAACCAGGATGTTTTTTTCGGACCTGGTTGAGTTTTGGTGCCGTCCTTCGGCAGCAGGTTCTGCAAACACGTTGCATTTTCAGCCGAGGTCATGAGAAGTCCGCGGAGGTTTGAGATGGAAAGGATTGATTTTGCTTCATGTGAGCGGTGCGGGAGCGGCACGTCGAGCCGCAGGCGGCATGGACAGAGTTTGGTGCTCGTGTTGTCCCCTCCAGCCACCCGGCATATGGCAGCTCCACGGTTGTGACCAGTGATTACTGTCTCCCCTGGCTTCCTGTTGCCTATCACTTTTTGAAGGACCTTCCTAGCCTGGAAAGATGGGAAATGGTGGCGAGGAGCTTCTTCTCCTGGGGTAACGGTCTCCAGTGCATTAGAGGTGCAGACGTGTTGCAGGGCAGTCGCGTTGGTGCATTAACGCGGGGCTGTGGTCAGTGCGGTCTCAGCCCTTGGACGTGCAGCCCAGATATATCTGCTGGCTGCTCTTTCCCAGTTTTGCTGTTTTTGGGGCATCCTTGGTGGCTCTTATGGTTCCGAAATGTGGCTTGAGACCCTCGTGGAGCCCCACGTGGCTCCGTGATGGCCGAGCTGTGTTTGCACCCGCTGCAGTTTAACCTTAAAACCTTCTCCAGTGAAGGAAGAGAAACAAATTTGTCCTCTACGAAGAGGGATTTAGAGCCTGGAAACACTAAAGCGATTTGTGTCGGAGCTGGAAGCCAGGCTGCCATGGGGCTGGGGAGCTCGGAAAGCCGCTGCTTGAGGCTCCGAGCGGGACCCAACGGCTTCTCCGACGGCAGCGTCACCGGTGGCTGCATGTTTCGGCCCCGGGAACGGCCTGGCGGAGCAGCTGAGCCCCGTGCCGGAGGCTTTGCCCTTGTCCCGGCCTCCAGAGCCTGTTTTTGCTCTCGGGCTCCGGGCGAGTGAGCAGCCTTTGCGCTCACAGATGATAAATGAGGCTGCTGGGCCGCTCCGGCGCGGGGTGAAATATGAAATCCCATGAAGCCGCCTCGCTCGTTAGAGCCAGCGCGGCGAGCTGCTTGTTATGCGCCGCGGCGGAATGCAGATTACGGATGTGACCGAGCGATAATTAGCGGCGCTGGAGCTGTAATTAAACGCTCCTGCGCGGCGCTTGCTGCTGCAGAGGAGAAGGAGGCCGAGCGGTTTGCAAGCCCCGCAGGTGCCCTCGCTGTCCCCTCTGCCCCGGCCCGGCCTCGCTGCCGGGCACGCGGCAGCCAGCTGTGCCGGGTGCCCCTCCAGATGTTTCCCGGCCCGCTGGGACTTGCCCTGGTGTTGGAAGTGGGTTGCCACCGAGGCCGAAGGGGAAAGCATGCTCCGCAGGGCTTGCGTCCTTTTCCAAGCCTCTCCAAATGCGCCTGGCGCTTCCAAAGGGTGTCTTTGGATCCCTGGATTCCCCGGCCTCCTGGGATGGAGCCGAGGTGCGTTGCTGCCGTCCCCGCCATGTGCT